CTGTTTCATTTTTGTATTGAACACACAGCTGTTTAAAATTCATTCCTAACGTAAGACACATTCCTTCTTGATTTTCTCCAATCGGCACTTCCTTTCCCTCTATTAACATATCTCAACTCCAGACCCATCTATTATATATATATATAATTTATTGTACCATATTTAGCGGGATGCGGCAGCCTAGCAGTTAAAACATTGGGCTTGCCAACCGGAAGGTTGCCAGTTCAAGACCCAAACATCACACGATGGGGTGAGTTCCCATTCTTGTCCCTGTCAAACTCAAAGCACGCGCATGAGATTGCCACTATTACTTCTTCTCAGCTTGCCAATGCACTAGGGGGGAGGAGAGGCGGAAATGGAATGCAGGCTCCAGACCACAAGAAGTCAGCCCGTGTGAACCAAGGACGTTTCAGCAGATGTTTGCAAACCCACAGAGAGACACTTCCTCATAACAATAATTTGGGACTCGATTGGACCATGTGACCTGCAGTAATAGGGGGAGGGAGAAGTCTATATCTTAATTATAGTGGTTTGCGCGGGAATTAACTAGCGCTGGTTTTGCTTCATTTGTGCCGAAATGATGTACTCAATAAAGTTTTGCATTAAGAGATCGGATCGTCTCGATAGTGCTTGCTCGGTTGGGTTTGTCAGTCGGAAACTTGACAGCCCCAGCTCCTGCCAACTTAGCAGTTTGAAAGCATGCAAATACAAGTAGATAAATAGGTACCACCTCAGTGGGAAAGTAACATAATTCCTTGCACCTTGGTGTATAACCATGTCAGCCACATGATCACAGAAGCATCTTATGATAATGGTGGCTCCCTGGGCTAGCAAATGGAGATAAACACCAGATAGGGAAAAACTTTTACTTTTATCTTTACATTTTTACCGTACTACTTTCTTCTTCATTGCCATCTCCCTCCTGGGGTGTTTTTCTACAAGGGTGGGATCTAAACCAGGGGTCCCCAGGCCTTGAGCCCTTCAGAACTGAGCCATGGAAGTGGCAGGATGTGCATGTGCACACATCCCCAATTGCCCAAGTAGCAGGCAAGTGCAAGCAAACGTGCTTGTCCACCCCTCATGCAGAAACTTCCCTTCTTCCCCCCCCGCACCCCACCTCGTCCCGCCCGGCCTGCAAAGCTGGAAAAGTTGGGCAAGTCTGATCTAAACTATTCAGCTCTTCCCTCTTTCCTTCCTGAACTGATTTTCTGTAGTTAGGAAAAAGGATCGGAGGGACGTGGTAGGGACGTGGTAGGGAAAAAAAAACAACAACGGGAAAGTCACAGAAGAAATACATCATCCGGAGATTGTATAAAACCCATAGATGAGATAAGGTGGATGCACAAGAAATGTTGAATACAAAGTCACCTTTCACGGTACATGAATCATGGAAATTGGTTTGTATCAAAGATTGCGTTCGGAGTTTGGCTTCTTTTTTTAGAAGGCGAAGGAAAGGGAGAAGGAGGAAGAGCAGAATGACCTGCAATCAAAGCTTTAATTGATTTTGTAATGACTAGGTATGGTAACCGTACTTTTTCCCAGCCTCTTAATTTGTATGACAGATGTACATTCTATAAAGTCACATGTGAGGCCAGTCCAGCTGACCTGTCACTCTATACCCTTCCTGCCTCAAGAAAGTTGCTTTCCTGTTTATTCTTTTGAGCCTGCATGCCTGTTTTATCTGCCACGTGGTTAACCTTCTGCTGATTGAAAAATAAAATAAAACCAGAAACAATTATTCCTTGAGTCATCTGGGTCTGGGAAAGAACTGGGAGTAACGGTACCCGTCGGATCTGGTTTGGCTGCTTGGCCTTAAATGTCTTTCCTTCTTCCTAAGAGCTTCCGTAGCAAAAGAGAAGAAATCACAAGGATTAGACCTGGGGAGCAAAGAAAACCCTCTTTTCAGTTTATTCATTCTAAAAAACTCCCATTTAAAAAAAGGAAGGGGATCCTTTTTCCTTTTGTCACAAATGGCTTGCTGCTACTGCAAATAATATTGATTTTATAACATTAGAACCTTGAAAATTTATCTGAACAGTAAGAGGATTTATAGCCCAGTCCTATACATCCTATGTACAGGTATAAGGGTATATAGCCATGGTGGCGAACCTACGGCATGCGTGCCACAGGTGGCACGCAGAGCCCTCTCTGTGGGCACACACGCTGTCGCCCCAGTCCTAGGCCTTCAGCTGGGTTTTATAAAACCTTTTTGCTTTAGGTCTCGGCCGCCGTGTGCAACAAAAAAAAAAGGTTCACTCAGTCAATTTCAACTTCTCGCGGGAAAAAAAAGATATTGCAAAGTTGGAATTGATTGATTGAACTTTTTAGTCCCACCCAGTGGGCCACAGCCACTCAATTGGCCACACCCACCCAATGGGCCACACCCACCCGGCACCCGATGATACATACAGTAAGTGGGTTTTGGGTTGCAATTTGGGCACTCGGTCTCTAAAAGGTTCGCCATCACTGGTATATAGGATATATAAAATCCTATATGTATATCCTATATAAGAGGGGCGCGATGACTCGGCGGTTAAAGCTAGAAAACTGACAGCACAGGTTCCTTGCTCCAGTTCCTGCCCACTTAGCAGTTTGAAAGCATGCAAATGCAAGTAGATTAATAGGTACCACTTCGGTGGGGAGGTTACAGCGGTCTATGTGCCTTTGGTGTATATCCATGCTGGCCACATGACCACGGAAATTGTCTTCAGACAATGCTGGCTCCCTTGGCCAAGAAACAGAGAAACCATGCCTTAGAATCGGACACAACTGACAAGGAAACCTTTACCTGTTATACCTACACATCAGTGTTACTCAACCTTGGGTGCTTCAATCTAGATGGCCTGGGAAGATAGTTAGCTGAGGAAGTCCACACAACTTCAAACACCCAAGTTTGAGAATCATTGCTGCTCATTTTTTTTTAAATGAAGACTCCTTCAGACACAGCTCAGCTTCTGGAGACTTCACGAACACATCTGCGGGACTTTTTTTTATTATTTTACTAGCTGTACCCAGCCACGCGTTGCTGTGGTTCAGTCTAGTAAAAGCGTGTGTTGCTTTTATGTCCAACAGATGGCGCTGTTTTTCAAAAAAAGCATGTTTTTACCTGTCACAGGTGTGACATCTATATAATATAGGTATATAAAAACACGCGCGTATTTGAATGCAACGTTGTGTCAAAATTTCAAAGCAATCGATGAAGAACTTTCGGAGATTTAAGATTTTGAACAAACGAACATTTACATTTTTATTTATATAGATTTTAGAAAACAACACACAAGTGGGGCTTTCTTTTTCCTAGGATAGATTTTCAACTCTCCGGTCCAGCCCGTAGCCCTGCGATTTTATGGTGATCTCCCGCCAAACTCAGAGGCAACCTTGCTTAGTTTGCTGAGATGAGCCAAGCCTGGTTAGGTCTTACCACGGGCATGTTTACTAAGAAGTAAAGCCCATTGGAAAGCAATGGGGTTTCTCTCCTGTCACGTTGCAGGAGCTTTCCATCAGAAACATACAGATTGTGTGTGGGGGGGGGTGCACGTGCATGCGCGTGTTAGAGAGAGAGAGAGAGAGAACTGAAGCCATCTGTGGTAGGAGCTCAGAATTGGCAGAACCCTTCTTGCTTCCGAATCCAGCTTCCTTCAGACAAACTGCTTTATAATTTAATTAAACCGCCCCTTCGGTGGATGCCTGAAATGTAGCTACGGAAAGGAGCCTATAGAATTTCCGCCCTCCTTCCAAAAACCACAGAACCGAATGTTATTCTGCGCTTGGCTAGCAATCGTCTAATCCTTGATAACAAAGACTTCCTATGAGTGACAGGCACAGCTCCGATGAGGCGCTCCTCACACTCATTAGCCCATCCATCTTGCCAAAGCAAGAACGAAGAGCAGATGCTGTTTTTACATTATCAGTGTTATTTAGCCCAGTAATCTTTAGACGTTTGGCTCCGGTTTCAGCTAATTTCTTGCACTGATCTGAAGGAAGACTCGCAGGTCACATCCTTCCCAGCATAACCCCTCTTCCATTTGGCTCCGTCTGCAACATCGTGTCTGGCTTGAAAACAAGGAGGGGGTTAATTTAATTTGAGCTGTCACTAAACTGCAAGACACGGCTTTAACGTGAAATATTAAAGTAATTTCAAGTTATCTGGGAGGAGCAACCAAGCTTTCCGTACCACTGTCTCGGGAAGAATTATCACAAGCTTATAAAGAACTCATTTGTGTCATTAAAGGTAGATCCTATACAGGTAGTCCCATCTTATACAAAGCCCCATCTTACACCAAGCTTTACCTGCAAAGATACTAGAGGTAGGCAACCTTGGCTCTTTTATGACTCGTGGACTTCAACTCCCAGAATTCCTGAGCCAGCATGGCTCAGCTTGGAAGCTCTCCCTTTCCCCTCAGCATGGCTGGCTCAGGAATTCTGGGAGTTGAAGTCCACGAGTCTCCCTCCCCCAAGCAGAAACCAGCTCTGTAGAAATGCAGATGTAAATAATCCAGGAAGGTTGGAGCCCCCCAGCTAGAAGCTTAGGAAGACAAAGACACCTAAAATCTACATGCCCCACCCAAACTCCAAGACAGGACATAATAGGATTAACCCACAGATACCAAAGGGCACATTCAGACTCAGGTCAAAGTTCATGCCTCAAACAGGAACAGGAAACAACTCCAAACAAAAGGCTCCAGAGGGTATAAAAACCCACTTCCTACATGTGCTCTTTCTTTTCTTACAGAGCCATCTTTCTGTCTGGCTCTCCTCTTCAATAAACTGCAACCTTCTTTCTAAAGCAGTCACCATATTGTTTATTCCCGGCTTGGACTGAACCACGATGAAGACTTTTCCTTCAACAAAGTCAAAGGAAAATAACGTATTATTCCTGTTGACATTTCCAGAGTGTGCATAATCAAACTTCACCACGAGTAGGTGATGCCATAGCAGTGTATATTTCCCACCAAAACATTTCAACATATTGGAAATGCATGTTTTAAAGGTGTACTTACACTTGCATGCAGTTTTCCTTTTTTCGACATGGCTAAAAATTTGTTGCTGAAAACTCCGCGTATTCCTACTATCCCCTGAGACACAGCGAATATTTCCAAAATACCTACAAAGGACAGAAATCCCCAAAATAAAATTCATTTTTCATAGCACCGTGAACGAACGAACAAACGAAAAGGAGAAAGAAAAAATTAAATGCCTTGTCATTTTGCACTATCTGAGAAAGGAGAAAAAAAAATCAGAAAAAGTCCCTGTCATTTTAGGCTTATAACCTGTGATTTCATGGCTGATTGCTTCTGGCTTGCTGCTTGCTTTATCTGAATATGCATTTATTTATAGATGTCCTGAGGTTTTAAAGGACAAAACTGATGCAAGATGAAGAGGGGGGGGGAGAATTTTAACCACAGCTTCTATTCGTAGTAACTAATTGCCCTCCATGTCAAAAGCATCAATGGAGATGTCAGGGTAGAAAAAGAAAGGACTCTGGCATCTAAAAGTCTATGGAAATTCTCGGTCATCCCAGGTCACGGTTGTCCCAAAGGTGCTTTTTTCAGGAGGCAACTGGACTTTCTTTGTTTTTCCTTTGAAGACGTTTCGCTTCTCATCCCAGAAGCTTCTTCAGCTCTGACTGGAAGGTGGGGGAATAGAAGGATTTATACTCCTTGCAGACAGCTGGGCATGTGGATGCTTTTAGGGAGTCGTTGAGGCCACCTGGAAGTTTGTCCGTGTCCTCAGGGTCACCTGAGTGGTGCAAATGGATGTGGAGCCTTCTTGGCTGCAGGATGTTTTCTATGTCCCTTCACTGTTGAAGACAGGTGCAACACAGACAACACAGACTCATCCCCAACAGCCTGCATCTGTCTTCAACTGGGAGGAAGGGAAGAAAGAAAGGAGAGGGGAAGGAAGGAAGGAAGGAAGGAAGGAAGGAAGGAAGGAAGGAAGGAAGGAAGGAAGGAAGGAAGGAAGGAAGGAAGGAAGGAAGGAAGGTGAGAAGAGAGAGGGAAGGAGAGAGAAAGGAAAGAAAGGAGAGAGAGAAGGAAGGAAGGAAGGAAGGAAGGAAGGAAGGAAGGAAGGAAGGAAGGAAGGTGAGAAGAGAGGGAGGGAGAGAGGATGGAAGGAAGATGACAAAGAGGGAGGAAAGAAAGAAGAGAAGGAAAGAAGGGAGAGGGAGGGAGGGAGGAAGGAAGGAAGGAAGGAAGGAAGGTGACAAAGAGGGAGGAAAGAAAGAAGAAGAAGGAAGGAAGGAAGATGACAAAGAGGGAGGAAAGAAGAGAAGAGAAGAGAAGAGAAGAGAAGAAGGAAGGAAGGAAGGAAGGAAGGAAGGAAGGAAGGAAGGAAGGAAGGAAGGAAGGAAGGAAGGAAGGAAGGAAGGAAGATGAGAAGAGAGAGGGAAGGAGAGGGGGGGGGAGAAAGGAGAGATGTTTGGCCTGGATAGGTTTGGCCAGGGTTTCTCAACACTGACATCTTTAAGATGTCTGGACTTCCACTCCCAGAATTCCCCAGGCAGCAGGACTCTCCCAGGGAGTCAAAGTCCACACATCTTAAAGCAGTGAAGGTTGAGAAACATTGGGTCAGGCTGTCACAATTCCTTCCTTAATGCCCCACGTCTCTGTGGACTGAAATGCAGCCCCCCTCTCTCTCTCTCTCTCTCCCCCCCAATCAAATATTTCACTGCTAGTCAGCTCTTCCTCCACTTCTGTTTCCCTTCTTCCTCCCACTCCTCCTTTTGAGGATTTGCATCTCAAAAGGATGCCTCTTGTAGCTCTGCTTCAGAGGGCTATTGAAAAGCAAAAGAAAAGTAGAAGCAATTTTTTGTTGTTGTTGTTGTTTTGCCTTGAAGGTCAACAAAGGTGATTCTGGAACTGCAGAAGGATCTGGCTTTTGAGCGAGCCGAAACAAAAGCAAAAGGTTGCGAGTGAAGCGAGACGTTGCGGTGTCCAAGGCTTCCTCTGCAGGGTTAGGAGATCTAAGGATCTTCTTTCTTCTTTTCCTCTCCACTCAGAAAACTATCCCAGCATAAAATAAGCCGTCCCCACTGCAAATCCTTAACCTGCCTCGGTTGCATCTGTTCCAAGTCCCCACCAAATGATGCCAGAGTGCCAGATATTGGAAGCAAAGTAATCCATGGCCCTCCTCCCCATCTATCTTCCCTCCCCCCCCCCCCCATCCTGCCCCAGTTCAGCATCTCAAGATTGTGTCCTGAGAAAAAGGTGAGACTCCTTGTGCTGCTTTGGCTGCCCCTCCCTTAAAACCCACCCTGTCATAAGGTAAATACATTGTAGGAGAAGGAGAAGTAAGAAAACTTCCTAGACCAGTGATGGCGAACCTTTTAGAGACTGAGTGCCCCAAAACTGCCCCACCCCCGCACCACACACCCACCACCACCCCCGTACCGCCCCTGCTCCACCCCTGCCCCGCCCCCACCCACCCGCAGGGCCACCCACCACCTCCATGGCCCACCGCAGATTGCCCAGGCAGTTCAGCAGTGCCATGGTGGCCACGCCCTCCACCCATGCCCCGCAGCCTCATGTTTGCGACGGAGCGCAAGGGCGGAGTCTTGTCCCCACTGCCCGGCTGCCATGTCCTTGGCTGCGCTGCTCCAGGGGGGGCATGCCTGGGAGTGACTCTCTTCCGAGGGGCTGCCTTTGGCACTCATGCCATAGGTTCGCCACCACTGTCCTAGACTGAAATTGTTGGCAGCAGTTTTTGCAGTGTGTGTGCCTTTGTGTGCGTACGTGTGTGTACACGCACATGTGTGTTCCTTTGAGTCACTGTTGACTTCTGGCCACTGCATGGACTAGTCTTTACAGCTTTCTTGGCAAGATTTGGGAAGTGGTTTGCCATTACCTCTTTCTTAAGGTTGAGAGAGAGTGGCTGGCCCATAATCACCCACCTGGCTTTGTGCTTAAGGTAGAATTAGAACTCACAGTCTCCTGACCAGCCCAGTGCCTTAGCCACTACACCAAACTGGATCTTTTTGCAGAATAGTGTTTTATATCTTCTTATCTCTTCCGATCTTTTTCATAAATAGTCACCGATTGGAAGCCTGCAAATTCCTCTGCTTAAGTTCTCATCCGCACCTATTATTATCATTTTCCAGGACCGTCAGCATTATACCTCAACTAATTTTCTTACATTTTATGGGCTGCTATACCCAGCTGTTGATGGTGCAAATATAGGTAGTCCTCGACTTACAACCGTTCATTTAGGGACCGTTCAAAATTAGAACTGCCCTGAAAAAAAATTGACTAATGCCCATTTTTCGCACTTACGACCGTTGCAGCATCCCCGTGGTCACGTGATCAAAATTCAGACACTTGGCAACCGACTCGTATTTATGACGGTTGCAGGGTCCCAGGGTCGTGTGATCCCCTTTGGCGTCCTTCTGACAAGCAAAGTCTTAACCACCATGTTACTAGCTGAACAACGGCAGTGAATCACTTAAGTGTAGCAAGAAAGGTCTTAAAGTGGGGCAAAATTCAATATATATTATTATTATTATTATTAATAATAATAATAATAATAATAATAATAAAGTTGGAAGGGACCTTGGAGGTCATCTAGTCCAACCCCCTGCTCAGGCAGGAAACCCTATACCATTTCAGACAAATGGCTATCTAGTCTCTTCTTAAAAACTTCCAGTGTTGGAGCATTCACCGCTTCTGGAGGCAGGTTGTTCCACTGGTTAATTGTTCTAACTGTCAGGAAGTTTCTCCTTAGTTCTAGGTTGCTTCTCTCCTTAATTAGTTTCCATCCGTTGCTTCTCGTCCTGCCTTCAGGCGCTTTGGAGAATAGCTTGACTCCCTCTTCTTTGGGGCAGCCCCTGAGATATTGGAACACTGCTATGATATCAAAACTTAATCATTGTCTCACTTAGCAACAGAAATTTTGGGCTCAATTGCGGTCGTGAGCTGAGGACTACCTGTATTTGGCCTTGATGGCAATAGAGGACAGAACTGGCCATGATGAACCTTTGGAAACCTCTTGAGGTTTGCTAGGCAATTTTTGCAAAATATTGGCCTTGTTGAAGAACTGTCCAGACATCTATTCTTCCTGCTTCAATTGCAGTATTCTACATCGCATCGATATTGATGCTGTTTAACCAAGCCTTTTATTTACCCAGCAAGAACTGGAACATCTGCTGAGCTCCTCCAGCTGAGGGGGGAGGAAACAACCTGTGTCAGCAATTCTCGCGATTCACCCCAATTTATTCAGTCTCTCTCACTTCCACTGCATTTTTCTCCTCTTTTGAGTGCCTTGTTTGAATGACCCCCAGAGTTTTATGCCAAACATATATATATTGTATTCCCTCATTTGTTTTCACTAGCTTTCTTCTCTGCAGATCTGTGGGAAGGCAACTCCCATCATGCTCAGCTATGGGCCCTGCTGGCTGGGAATTATGGGGCTTGAGCGACAAAATATCCACATGCGGGGAAAATCCGCAGTATTATAATTTTAAATACTTGTAAAATGAACACCAATACAGGTAGTCCTCAATTTATGACCACAATTGAGGCTAACATTTGTTACTAAGTGAGACAGTTGTGAAGTGGGTTTTCCCCATTTTATGATCTTTCTTGCTACAGTTAAGTGAATCACTGCCATTGTTCAGTTAGTAACACGGTCGTTAAGTAAATCTGGCTTCCCCATTGACTTTGCTTGTCAGAAGGTCGCAAAAGGAGATCACGTGACCCCAGGACACTGCGACCGTCATAAATATGAGCCAGTTGCCAAGCGACTGAATTTTGATCATGTGACCACAAGGATGCTGCAATGGTCCTAAGTGTGAAAAACAGTCATAAGTCACTTTTTTCAGTACCGTTGTAACTTTGAACTGTTGTAAGTCAAGGACTACCTGTATATGTCTAGGCCAGGGGTAGGCAACCTTGGCTCTTTTATGACTGGTGGACTTCAACTCCCAGAATTCCTGAGCCAGCATGGCTCAGCTTGGAAACCTCTCCCTTTCCCCTCAGCATGGCTGGCTCAGGAATTCTGGGAGTTGAAGTCCATAAGTCATAAAAGAGCCACGGTTGCCTACTTCTGGTTTAGGCCGTTCCACCTATTAATAGCATTTGTCATAATCATCCCTCTTAATTTTAAAAGGAAGAGGAGTTAAATCAGTATCCTCTCTTCCTGGAATAATCAACACAATTTTGACTTAAGACTGAGAAATTGCATTCTGCTGGAAAGAAAGTTTACCTTCTGCCACACACTGATCAGATGGAGGGGCAGATGTTTGAATTCAGAACTTTATTGCTGGCAAGGATACTGAATTGGCTTTTTGGCATTCACTGAGTCTTAGCACACCATAGTTAACAGAATTAACAGAGTTAGAAGGGACCTTGGAGGTCTTCTAGGAATCTAGTCCAACCCCCTGCTCAGGCAGGAAACCCTACACCATTTCAGACAAAAGGCTGTCCCATCTCTTCTCAAAAACCTCCAGTAATGGAGCACTCACAACTTTTGAAGGCAAGCCATTCCACTGTTTAATTGTTCTCACTGTCAGGAAATTTATCCTTAGTTCTAGATTGGATCTCTCCTTTATAAGTTTCCATTTGTTCCTTCTTGTCCTGCTCTCAGATGCTTTGGAGAAGAGATTGACCCCCTCTTCTCTGTGACAGTCCCTCAAATATTGTAAGACTGCTGTTATGTCATTCCCTAGGCCAGGGGTAGGCAACCTTGGCCCTTTTATGACTCGTGGACTTCAACTCCCAGAATTCCTGAGCCAGCCATGCTGAGGGGAAAGGGAGAGTTTCCAAGCTGAGCCATGCTGGCTCAGGAATTCTGGGAGTTGAAGTCCACCAGTCATAAAAGAGCCAAGGTTGCCTACTCCTGCCCTAGCCCTTCATTAGAGTAGACATACCCAATTCCGGGCATATGTTCATATATTTTAGCCTTCAGTCGCCTAATCATCTTTGTTGCTTTTTTCTGCACTCTTTCTAGAGTCTCAACATCTTTATTTTTATTATTGTAGCAAACAAAACTGGATGCAATATCCAAGTGTGGTTCTGGGGATATGGCTAGTGAATTCTGGGAATCGATATGCCGCTACGTGGGAGATGCCCAGGCTCTGGAAAGAGCTGTTATCTTAATCTCGGCTACTTTAAGAGGTGCGGACTTCAACTCCCAGAATTCCCCAGTCAGCATACTTTTGCAGCAACCCAGCCAGCATGCTGGCTGGGGAATTCTGGGAGTTGAAGTCCACACATCTCAATTGGCCAAGTTTGAAAAACACTAACCTAATTGGCAAGAGAATGGTGATATCAAAATATGACTCAGGAGATAAGGATTTCCCCAAATCATTTTTAGAGGTTGTGGGAATACAAATCATAGCCCAGCAACTGAGGAATCCCCAAATCATTTTTAGAGGTTGTGGGAATACAAATCATAGCCCAGCAACTGAGGAATCACAAGGCAGTACAGCAGCAGCTGGAAACAACTGTATCCTAATGCACAGCCTACACTTGCTTCCCAATTTTATCTTTTTTTGAAATTTAAATGGTCCAAAATTGTTCAAGGCCTTACAAATCTCACGCAAAACAGAGAACCTAGAAATTTCTTTAGGAATTGGCCAAATAAACACACCAGTAAAAGAACTGCAGTGTGCAGTTTTCACCAAAGTGATTCCCTCCGGATGTGGTAGGATTCCTGTTAAAAGCCTGGATACTGGCTACTGGCCAGGTATCCTGCATTAGTAGTTCTGGCACATCTGAAAGGACCCAGTTTGGAAAATGTGGGTTAAGAGCAAAGGTTGGCAACTTTAAGACTTGTGGACTTCAGCTCCCAGAATTCCCCAGCCAAGCGCTTGAATTTTGATCACGTGACCCTGAGGATGCTGCAATGATCTTAAAGTGAAAACCAGTCGTAAGTCACTTTTTTCAGTTCTGTTTTAACTTTGAACCGTCGCTAAACTAATGGTTGTAAGTGGAGGACAATCTGTATAGCCAGCAGTCTTAAAAAAAATAATTCTTAATGACTATATAGTCCATTCAGCGAAGCAGACTGGATTTATGAGATGCTTTAATAGATGTTTGTCCAAAATGGTTTCCTGCCTGAGCAGAGGGTTGGACTAGATGACCTCCAAGGTCCCTTCCAACTACTACTACTACTACTACTACTACTACTACTACTACTACTACTACTTCTTCTTCTTCTTCTTCTTCTTCTTCTTCTTCTTCTTCTTCTTCTTCTTCTTCTTCTTCTTCTTCTTCTTCTTCTTCTTCTTCTTCTTCTTCTTCTTCTTCTTCTTCTTCTTCTTCT